CCTCCCTCTCAGGGCCCGTCCGCTGCTCGCCCTCACACTGGCCCCACTGGCCCGAGCCCCTTCCCTCCGTGCTCCCCACACACCCCAATGTTCCCTTCCCGCATCCCCAGTGCGCCCTCACGCTGCCCCGGGTCTTTCCCCCTCTCCCGTGCGCTCCACACTGCCCCACGGTCCTGTTGGCACAGCCCCCGTGTGCCTCACACAGCCCATTGGGCCCTTCCCTCCTTTGCACCGTCCCCTGTTTGGCTCCTCTCATGCGCCCCTCTCCACTACCCAAGAGACCCCTGCCCTGTGCCCCCTACTCATGGGACCCTTCCCCTGCCACATTCCCCTCTCCACTCCTCCCCCGTCCCTGCCGAGGTGAGTTGGAGAAAAGGAGGGGGAGAGGGTATCAGAATAAACTGCAGCATCCTGGCCTGGCTCCCATGAGTCTGGGTGCAAAGCCCCCCAGGGCTCCCCAACTACTCAGGAGTGGCTGCAGCAGGTGAAGGAGAGCAGGGTGCACCCTCAAGCCTCTTTAAGGTTCTGGGGTACAGTGGCCCACAGAAAGGTGGGGGACCAGCACTTTTGAGGAGACCCGGTTCCTTAAAGGTGGGGAGACAGGGTATCCCCCTTGTGGGGAGCCGATTGCCTTACCAGGCCCTGCCCTCCTTGGGTGTGGTGGGGGTAGGGACAAGATTACATCCTCACCAAACCAACACTCTGCAGCCCCTCTAGCGACCTGACCTTCCCCTGGGACGCTCGGAGAGTCCCTGTGCCATGGTCAGGCTGATTGTTCAAACTGGAGGCCTGGGTATGGGGGTGGGAACGGTGCCACGCACCCCCTTGAGAAAGGGCAGATTAAAGCAGGTCACCCCAGTGTAAGGACCGGAAGCCTGGCAAAGGGCATGGCAGCCCATGAGGGACCTACCAGCATCCTGCTGACACGTGTACATGGCTGTCCCTTGTCTGAAGGCAGTGATTCTCCAAGGGTGGCCCCGTTGCACCAGCTTCACAGATTTTAAAGCCCAAAGGGGTTATTATGTTTGTCTAGCCTGACCCTCTGCATCACACAGGCTGGTGAACCTGATCCAGCAATTCCTGCACCTTGCCTTAACTTCTGGTCATATTAGAGCAGGTCATTGTGAAAGTCCCTTCTCAACAAAAAGACTACAAGCCATGGAAAACTCACCACCACCCCGGGCGAGCTGTTCCACCACGTTAAAACTCTGCATGAAAAGGCAGTTTAAAATACATCAATACTCCCTTAGTGTGCATTGGCCATGCAAGCAGGTGTGGTAATTCCCACAGGGATGTTACAGTGATCACCAAGGAGGAGAAGTGAAGGGTTTTGTACAGGACTCTTGCTAACAATGTAGTCCACAGGGGGAGAATGCTTGAGAACTCCTGCCTGAGGACTGGTAGGGGTGTGTCAGTGTTCAGACCACATCCTATGTTCAGCTCAAAGCCAAGACACCACGGTTCCTGGTATTCTCAGCCAGGGTGAGAGGCGGTGACCCATTCAGCCCATGCATTTTCCCCCTGTGCAGTCAGCACCTCAGATCTTCCTTTTGCCACTAGACAGAGCTTCCGTACTCTATTTCTGATGTAAGACTGTGTTTAGACTTCATTGGATGCTTGTACCTTGCTGCATGCGTCAATCTCATTTCTAGCATCGATACCCAGCATCGGAAGGGACAATTTGAGCAGTTGCATTATGGGGCGCTGGGACTAGAGAAATCGCCAGACAAGAGGAAGACGTTGAGTAGTAGCAGAAAGTGTCACGTGCGGCCCAACAGGAAAGGCCCATCAACACCAAATGGACCATGGTGGGACATTAAAGAGGACAAAAGACATTGCTCTACTCTCTCCACATTATGAAGATGAGTTAGTGGATTCTTCCTCCCAGCTGAGTTCACACAGGAGGAGGGGAATAAAATCCCATCCGAAGAAGGAGCCGTATCTCTATGCTGCTTGGATTGATGGGGCAGGACGCAAGGTTTTCTACACCTAAGCAAGAGACCCTCACTGTTCAGCCAGCGTTAGCTCTAAAGGACTGATACAGCTTGTGTCTATTGCTTTTTAAAACTTGAAAGCGTAATTTGTGTGTGCATATCTGTTCTGTTTTAACCTTGTAAATAACCCTCTTGTTTCCTTTTCCCACTTAATAAACATTTTAGTTTCTTATAGGACTGGCTACAAGAGATGTCTTTGTGTAAGATCTAAAGTGCAACTGAGCTGGGGTAAATGACTAGTCCTTTGGGATTGGGAATAGCCTGAATATTGCTGTGAATGTTGGTGTAAGGGACTGTCAGTTACAAAAGTAAGCTTACCGGGGGTAGGGAGTGGGGCGGTGAGGGGTTGACATAGATCCGAGTATGCAAGGGGCCTGTCCATGACTCCATGCTTAGGATGTTATGGTGGCTGAGGAGTTCACACATGATAATCAATTGGTGAAAGCTAAATATAGAACTCACAGCCAATTTGGAATTAGGCTGGGGAACTTTGGCTGAAAGGATGCGACTCCAGCTACGTAAAGAACACAGCTGGAGTCAGTGTACCTTAAGCCGAGCTTGGCACCATCTCCACAGCAGGAGGTCAACAGGAGCAAACGCTTCCCTCAGCTTCCCTTACTCTTCACAAATCAAGGAGTGACAGCACCAATGGGGCCACCCTCAGCATTCGATTTAGTGGGTCCTTACTAGACCCGCTAAATCAAACACCAGAAGACTGATCTCCGGTGCGGTAAGTATAGATGTGGCCTTAGTGCCTTGCTTCCTTGCAGGCTGCCCCAAGATTGGTCCTCACGCTCTTGAGTCACTGCAGGCAAAGTGAAATCACAGGCTTGGACATCTCTGAGCATTGCAAGGGTTCAGTGGTAGATCTGACTTCTGCAGCCTGGGTTTTATTTCCACTTCAAGTGCTGGGAAAACTATGCAAGCAGAGCGCTGGGTGTCCTAGCATTCAGCTAGGGCCTGGAAATCCAATCCAGCTGTACTTTAATCTGTTAGCAGTCTGAATCCCCAAACTCGATAGCCCAGATTTGGCTGTGCCAAACGCCACTGACGAACGAGATTTCTAACGTGCTTTACTACATGCCAGGTTCAAGACCCAGATTTATTCAGGAACCAGATCCATGTGGGGACAGAGAGCGATGTTTAAGGACAGTGCAACTTGCATGCCTCAGCCAGGAGCAGGTGAGCACCAAGGCAGGTCACTATGATTAATGAGTGCTAGGGCTAAGGCTTCTCTTATATCCTGAGCCTCGGGGGAGAGGGGAGCCCTGCCTAAGTAGCTTCGAGATCGAGCCACAGTGCTTGTGAGAGGGGAGAGCCTTCATCCATGACATCCTGGCATGCTCTGTTTCTGTGGGGAAGCCTCAAGTGAGGAGATGCTGATGCACCTAGGAAGAGCCGGGTCATCTCACAGCAAAACACC